GTGCTAATGCGAGGGTCAGTGGTCAAATATGAAATGACAAATTGAATACGATGAACAGAAAGGTAAAAGAATGACCCACAAGCTCAACACATGTTTTGGGTGAAAACGCAAGGTTTGATTGAACCGCACGTTAAAATATTCGGGCTGTCCGGTTTTCGATCAGGTTTTAGCATCGCGGGTGTCACCCTTGTTTATTTTATGTAACGAGTGTAGCAGTATACTTTTCTAAAATATTAATTTCTTCACCGATTTCGTTCAAATATGAAATATATGTTAATCATAACATATAAAATACAATATAAAATTATTGTCCAAACTGATTCGAACCCTGTGCGCTGGTGTGTAGAGAGAAACTTCAGATGATAGGTTGTAGTCACAGATCGTGGTGCAAAGTCTGTTACCACAATACCGTTCGCTAGATGCCACAAAAGTAATGGACGTCTTAGGCCTGCATATCTTTCTTTCCACAATAAGCTGACTCAAGGTAACACGACTGAACAGTCTAAGTAAACCTTGGCTCAGTATTATTCGTTACACTGCTATACTGAGTCTAACAAAACCTTGTGGAAGGTCGCGTCAGGTAACCTTTTCAATTGACCAATCAGAACACAGCTTATCAAATCGCGAAAGTTGACATTCGCATATACAATTAATAAAAATAATGAATATATTCTTCTTTAGCATTTTTACATTTTTGAAAGCACATTCATTGTTAAAAGTACATGGTTGAATTACTAGTAATCGGTTATGTGTTTCAAATGTATTAGAACTATTTATTATTAATTATATAATGTGGCAAACAATCATTTTCTAGTTTCTCTAACTCGGCGTTCAGTTTATTTCCAGCATACAACAGGAGAAAAGGGGACCAAATCATCGAATTATACGTCATCAAATTTGCTAAAATAAAGATGCTTACATGCTTAATATAAGTTCTATATTCAATCAATGTGGTCGTTCAGATCCATGTTTTATGTGTACGATTTCGAGACAATAACGATCTGACACGAAATATCAACGCATATGCCGGTTTTGAAAATGGGGTCTGTGTTATTGTTTACATTACGCCCATGTATAACGATTTTCGTGTCTCGAAATTGCAGAAATAACGTTTTCGTAGATGTACGGAAACTATCGATGTTTACCGAAGAGAGGCCAGTGCTAATGCGAGGGTCAGTGGTCAAATATGAAATGACAAATTGAATACGATGAACAGAAAGGTAAAAGAATGACCCACAAGCTCAACACATGTTTTGGGTGAAAAACGCAAGGTTTGATTGAACCGCACGTTAAAATATTCGGGCTGTCCGGTTTTCGATCAGGTTTTTAGCATCGCGGGTGTCACCCCTTGTTTATTTTATGTAACGAGTGTAGCAGCATACTTTTCTAAAATATTAATTTCTTCACCGATTTCGTTCAAATATGAAATATATGTTAATCATAACATATAAAAATACAATATAAAATTATTGTCCAAACTGATTCGAACCCCTGTGCGCTGGTGTGTAGAGAGAAACTTCAGATGATAGGTTGTAGTCACAGATCGTGGTGCAAAGTCTGTTACCACAATACCGTTCGCTAGATGCCACAAAAGTAATGGACGTCTTAGGCCTGCATATCTTTCTTTCCACAATAAGCTGACTCAAGGTAACACGACTGAACAGTCTAAGTAAACCTTGGCTCAGTATTATTCGTTACACTGCTATACTGAGTCTAACAAAACCTTGTGGAAGGTCGCGTCAGGTAACCTTTTCAATTGACCAATCAGAACACAGCTTATCAAATCGCGAAAGTTGACATTCGCATATACAATTAATAAAAATAATGAATATATTCTTCTTTATCATTTTTACATTTTGAAAGCACATTCATTGTTAAAAGTACATGGTTGAATTACTAGTAATCGGTTATGTGTTTCAAATGTATTAGATCTATTTATTATTAATTATATAATGTGGCAAACAATCATTTTCTAGTTTCTATAACTCGGCGTTCAGTTTATTTCCAGCATACAACAGGAGAAAAGGGCACCAAATCATCGAATTATACGTCATCAAATTTGCTAAAATAAAGATGCTTACATGCTTAATATAAGTTCTATATTCAATCAATGTGGTCGTTCAGATCCATGTTTTATGTGTACGATTTCGAGACAATAACGATCTGACACGAAATATCAACGCATATGCCGGTTTTGAAAATGGGGTCTGTGTTATTGTTTACATTACGCCCATGTATAACGATTTTCGTGTCTCGAAACTGCAGAAATAACGTTTTCGTAGATGTACGGAAACTATCGATGTTTACCGAAGAGAGGCCAGTGCTAATGCGAGGGTCAGTGGTCAAATATGAAATGACAAATTGAATACGATGAACAGAAAGGTAAAAGAATGACCCACAAGCTCAACACATGTTTTGGGTGAAAACGCAAGGTTTGATTGAACCGCACGTTAAAATATTCGGGCTGTCCGGTTTTCGATCAGGTTTTAGCATCGCGGGTGTCACCCTTGTTTATTTTATGTAACGAGTGTAGCAGTATACTTTTCTAAAATATTAATTTCTTCACCGATTTCGTTCAAATATGAAATATATGTTAATCATAACATATAAAATACAATATAAAATTATTGTCCAAACTGATTCGAACCCCTGTGCGCTGGTGTGTAGAGAGAAACTTCAGATGATAGGTTGTAGTCACAGATCGTGGTGCAAAGTCTGTTACCACAATACCGTTCGCTAGATGCCACAAAAGTAATGGACGTCTTAGGCCTGCATATCTTTCTTTCCACAATAAGCTGACTCAAGGTAACAGGACTGAACAGTCTAAGTAAACCTTGGCTCAGTATTATTCGTTACACTGCTATACTGAGTCTAACAAAACCTTGTGGAAGGTCGCGTCAGGTAACCTTTGAGCGACCTATGACCGTCCAATCAAACGCGAGACGACGGATACAATTAATAAAAATAATGAATATATTCTTCAATCAGAAAGCACATTCATTGTTAAAAGCATGGTTGAATTTAGTAATCGGTTATGTGCAAATGGACTTAATTATATAATGGCAAACAATCATTTTCTAGTTTCTTCCCGGCGTTCAGTTTATTTCCAGCATACAACAGGAGAAAAGGGGACCAAATCATCGAATTATACGTCATCATTTGCTAAAATAAAGATGACATGCATAAGTTCTATATTCAATCAATGTGGTCGTTCAGATCCATGACATTTTATGTGTACGATATTCGAGACAATAACGATCTGACACGAAATATCAACGCATATGCCGGTTTTGAAAATGGGGTCTGTGTTATTGTTTACATTACGCCCATGTATAACGATTTTCGTGTCTCGAAATTGCAGAAATAACGTTTTCGCGAATGTACGGAAACTATCGATGTTTACCGAAGAGAGGCCAGTGCTAATGCGAGGGTCAGTGGTCGATATGAAATGACAAATTGAATACGATGAACAGAAAGGTAAAAAGAATGACCCACAAGCTCAACACATGTTTTGGGTGAAAACGCAAGGTTTGATTGAACCGCACGTTGGTCATATTGAAAAAGGCTTCCGGTTTTCGATCAGGTTTTAGCATCGCGGGTGGTTTTGTATTTTATGTAACGAGTGTAGCAGTATACTTTTCTAAAAATTAATTTCTTCACCGATTTCGTTTATGAAATATATGTTAATCATAACATATAAAATACAATATAAAATTATTGTCCAAACTGATTCGAACCCCTGTGCCCTGGTGTGTAGAGAAAAACTTCAGATGATAGGTTGTAGTCACAGATCGTGGTGCAAAGTCTGTTACCACAATACCGTTCGCTAGATGCCACAAAAGTAATGGACGTCTTAGGCCTGCATATCTTTCTTTCCACAATAAAGAGATTATTGGGCAAGGTAACAGGACTCAGTATGGAATCCTGGAACTTTTGGGGACATTGTCACGTTGTCTGAGTCTGTCAAAACCTCATTGTCGCCCTCTCAAATACAAGCAAAATGGTCAAAATTAACCAAAGCGCGACAACGCGACATTTCGCCCATTTGTCGCATTGTCGCGATGTCGCGTGTCGCGTTTTGAATAATATTTTTCTATTATTCCTCCACAACGCGACATAGCGACAATTTTCAAGGTCAAAATATGTCGCGTTGTCGCATTGTCGCCCTATTTAAGATGTGTAAAAAAGGCCTAAAATTTACTAAAACGCGACATTCGACAATGCTACAAATGGGCGAACTGTCGCGTTGTCGCGAATTGGTTTATTTTGCCTCATTTTGCCTGTTTTTGAGAGGGCGACAACGCGACAATGTCCCCTCTCGGATTCCATAGGTCAGTGATAAAAAAAGTACACAAATGATTACTGAAAGGCAAAGGTGACACGGGGTTGTTGACGAAACGGAAAAGCCACTCACAAAATGTCAGGCTGCTATATAACTGGAATATTGCTGAGTGCGGCGTAAAACTAAACTCACTCACTCACAAAATGTCAGTGCAAAGTGTGAAAGTCAAAACAAACACATCCCTGTTGTGAGTGAGTGACTTTAGTTTTACGCCGCCTTTAGCAGTGTTCCACCAATATCACGACGGGAGACACCAGAAATGGGCTTCACACAATATACCCATGTGTGGAATCGAACCTTCAGTTACCCATGCTTGTCGTAAGAAGCGACTAACGGGATCGGATGGTCAGGCTCGCTGGCCTGGTTGACACATGTCATCGGTTCCCAATTGCACAGATTGATGCTCATGCTGTTGACCACTGGATTGTCTGGTCCAGACTCGATTATTTACAGACCGTTGCCATATAGCTGGAATATTGCTGAGTGCTGCGTAAAACAACTCACTCACTCACTGTTACAGGTGACGTGCACAGAAACAAATACAGTTCGTGATATATGAAATAAACATGTGATTGTTATACTTTGCCAGCCGCATATATATGTAGTATTAACCTATGATTATTAATAATAAGTGTAACTTTCCAAATTAAATTTTCAGGGAGATTTTAATGGACAATGTATTCTCTACGCGCACATCGATTGGAACTCGTTAACGTTCATGACATCCAACGTCGTCAACTGCCGGTTTGGAATCTACGTCAGCGTATGTTTCTGTGTACTCTATGCCCTTGGGATGATCTTCTACCATGTGTACCTCCTGACAAGAAATGATCCAAGCATTGGGTAAGTAAGCTTCGGCTTAAAAGCGACCATTCCTATTCTGGAAGGTGCTGGTGAGTGGTGAGGATCTGGTCTCAGAGCTCGGTGAATTTGTTCATAAATTTTCTAAGCAAAACAAATCATTTTTATGTCTACTGTAAGTATTGTAACCGACATTTTCTCTCTTTTCTTTCTCCACAGCTTGAGGCATTAATATTTTCTTCAAGCATTTTGGGGGACAGTGTATTTTTTTCTTCGAAAAGATAAATCCCATCCCAAAACCTACTACCCTCACCCCACAGCTAGCCCCGAATCAGAATATCAATTAAATAAAATGTCCTTAATTTGATTATCTCATAACTTCATTATGGGAGTTTATCTTTATTATACGTTTGAAGGCCAAAGGTAGACATACATAAAATGTACTCAAGAAAAGGGACAATTCCCCAAAACGTACAGCATTCATCTGGTGTTTTCCAAATAAGATATATTGATAGCACCCATCCATCCATCCCTCAATCTATTCAGCGGTCCAAGATGTAGATGATAACCCTCTGAGTGTTGTTTCAGATCAAAGATGTAGATGATAACCCTCTGAGTGTTGTTTCAGATCAAAGATGTAGATGTTAACCCTCTGAGTGTTGTTTCAGATCAAAGATGTAGATGATAACCCTCTGAGTGTTGTTTCAGATCAAAGATGTAGATGATAACTCCCTGAGTGTTGTTTCAGATCAAAGATGTAGATGATAAACCTCTGAGTGTTGTTTCAGATCAAAGATGTAGATGTTAACCCTCTGAGTGTTGTTTCAGATCAAAGATGTAGATGTTAACCCTCTGAGTGTTGTTTCAGATCAAAGATGTAGATGATAACCCTCTGAGTGTTGTTTCAGATCAAAGATGTAGATGATTAACCTCTGAGTGTTGTTTCAGATCAAAGATGTAGATGATAACCCTCTGAGTGTTGTTTCAGATCAAAGATGTAGATGATAACCTCTGAGTGTTGTTTCAGATCAAAGATGTAGATGATTAACCTCTGAGTGTTGTTTCAGATCAAAGATGTAGATGTTAACCCTCTGAGTGTTGTTTCAGATCAAAGATGTAGATGATAACCCTCTGAGTGTTGTTTCAGATCAAAGATGTAGATGATAACCCTCTGAGTGTTGTTTCAGATCAAAGATGTAGATGATAACCCTCTGAGTGTTGTTTCAGATCAAAGATGTAGATGATTAACCCTCTGAGTGTTGTTTCAGATCAAAGATGTAGATGTTAACCCTCTGAGTGTTGTTTCAGATCAAAGATGTAGATGATAACCCTCTGAGTGTTGTTTCAGATCAAAGATGTAGATGTTAACCCTCTGAGTGTTGTTTCAGATCAAAGATGTAGATGATAACCCTCTGAGTGTTGTTTCAGATCAAAGATGTAGATGATTAACCTCTGAGTGTTGTTTCAGATCAAAGATGTAGATGATAACCCTCTGAGTGTTGTTTCAGATCAAAGATGTAGATGTTAACCCTCTGAGTGTTGTTTCAGATCAAAGATGTAGATGTTAACCCTCTGAGTGTTGTTTCAGATCAAAGATGTAGATGATAACCCTCTGAGTGTTGTTTCAGATCAAAGATGTAGATGTTAACCCTCTGAGTGTTGTTTCAGATCAAAGATGTAGATGTTAAACCTCTGAGTGTTGTTTCAGATCAAAGATGTAGATGATAAACCTCTGAGTGTTGTTTCAGATCAAAGATGTAGATGATAACCCTCTGAGTGTTGTTTCAGATCAAAGATGTAGATGTTAAACCTCTGAGTGTTGTTTCAGATCAAAGATGTAGATGTTAACCCTCTGAGTGTTGTTTCAGATCAAAGATGTAGATGTTAACCCTCTGAGTGTTGTTTCAGATCAAAGATGTAGATGATAACCCTCTGAGTGTTGTTTCAGATCAAAGATGTAGATGATAACCCTCTGAGTGTTGTTTCAGATTGAACATGTAGATGATAACCCTCTGAGTGTTGTTTCAGATCAAAGATGTAGATGATTAACCTCTGAGTGTTGTTTCAGATCAAAGATGTAGATGATTAACCTCTGAGTGTTGTTTCAGATCAAAGATGTAGATGTTAACCCTCTGAGTCTTGTTTCAGATTGAACATGTAGATGATAACCCTCTGAGTGTTGTTTCAGATCAAAGATGTAGATGATTAACCTCTGAGTGTTGTTTCAGATCAAAGATGTAGATGATAACCCTCTGAGTGTTGTTTCAGATCAAAGATGTAGATGATAAACCTCTGAGTGTTGTTTCAGATCAAAGATGTAGATGTTAACCCTCTGAGTGTTGTTTCAGATCAAAGATGTAGATGATAACCCTCTGAGTGTTGTTTCAGATCAAAGATGTAGATGTTAACCCTCTGAGTGTTGTTTCAGATCAAAGATGTAGATGATAACCCTCTGAGTGTTGTTTCAGATCAAAGATGTAGATGATTAACCTCTGAGTGTTGTTTCAGATCAAAGATGTAGATGATAACCCTCTGAGTGTTGTTTCAGATCAAAGATGTAGATGATAACCCTCTGAGTGTTGTTTCAGATCAAAGATGTAGATGATTAACCTCTGAGTGTTGTTTCAGATCAAAGATGTAGATGATTAACCTCTGAGTGTTGTTTCAGATCAAAGATGTAGATGTTAACCCTCTGAGTGTTGTTTCAGATTGAACATGTAGATGATAACCCTCTGAGTGTTGTTTCAGATCAAAGATGTAGATGATTAACCTCTGAGTGTTGTTTCAGATCAAAGATGTAGATGATAACCCTCTGAGTGTTGTTTAAACCTCTGATCAAAGATGTAGATGATTAACCCTCTGAGTGTTGTTTCAGATCAAAGATGTAGATGTTAAACCTCTGAGTGTTGTTTCAGATCAAAGATGTAGATGATAACCCTCTGAGTGTTGTTTCAGATCAAAGATGTAGATGTTAACCCTCTGAGTCTTGTTTCAGATGGAACATGTAGATGATAACCCTCTGAGTGTTGTTTCAGATCAAAGATGTAGATGATTAACCCTCTGAGTGTTGTTTCAGATCAAAGATGTAGATGATAACCCTCTGAGTGTTGTTTCAGATCAAAGATGTAGATGTTAACCCTCTGAGTGTTGTTTCAGATCAAAGATGTAGATGTTAAACCTCTGAGTGTTGTTTCAGATCAAAGATGTAGATGTTAAACCTCTGAGTGTTGTTTCAGATCAAAGATGTAGATGATAACCCTCTGAGTGTTGTTTCAGATCAAAGATGTAGATGATAAACCTCTGAGTGTTGTTTCAGATCAAAGATGTAGATGATAACCCTCTGAGTGTTGTTTCAGATCAAAGATGTAGATGATTAACCCTCTGAGTGTTGTTTCAGATCAAAGATGTAGATGTTAACCCTCTGAGTGTTGTTTCAGATCAAAGATGTAGATGTTAACCCTCTGAGTGTTGTTTCAGATCAAAGATGTAGATGTTAACCCTCTGAGTGTTGTTTCAGATCAAAGATGTAGATGATTAACCCTCTGAGTGTTGTTTCAGATCAAAGATGTAGATGTTAACCCTCTGAGTGTTGTTTCAGATCAAAGATGTAGATGTTAACCTTTGAGTGTTGTTTCAGATCAAAGATGTAGATGATAACCCTCTGAGTGTTGTTTCAGATCAAAGATGTAGATGTTAAACCTCTGAGTGTTGTTTCAGATCAAAGATGTAGATGATAAACCCTGAGTGTTGTTTCAGATCAAAGAGATGATAGATGTTAAACCTCTGAGTGTTGTTTCAGATCAAAGATGTAGATGTTAACCCTCTGAGTGTTGTTTCAGATCAAAGATGTAGATGATAACCCTCTGAGTGTTGTTTCAGATCAAAGATGTAGATGTTAACCCTCTGAGTGTTGTTTCAGATCAAAGATGTAGATGATAACCCTCTGAGTGTTGTTTCAGATCAAAGATGTAGATGATTAACCTCTGAGTGTTGTTTCAGATCAAAGATGTAGATGATAACCCTCTGAGTGTTGTTTCAGATCAAAGATGTAGATGTTAAACCTCTGAGTGTTGTTTCAGATCAAAGATGTAGATGTTAAACCTCTGAGTGTTGTTTCAGATCAAAGATGTAGATGATAACCCTCTGAGTGTTGTTTCAGATCAAAGATGTAGATGTTAACCCTCTGAGTGTTGTTTCAGATCAAAGATGTAGATGTTAAACCTCTGAGTGTTGTTTCAGATCAAAGATGTAGATGATAAACCTCTGAGTGTTGTTTCAGATCAAAGATGTAGATGATAACCCTCTGAGTGTTGTTTCAGATCAAAGATGTAGATGATAAACCTCTGAGTGTTGTTTCAGATCAAAGATGTAGATGATAACCCTCTGAGTGTTGTTTCAGATCAAAGATGTAGATGTTAACCCTCTGAGTGTTGTTTCAGATCAAAGATGTAGATGATTAACCTCTGAGTGTTGTTTCAGATCAAAGATGTAGATGTTAACCCTTTGAGTGTTGTTTCAGATCAAAGATGTAGATGTTAACCCTCTGAGTGTTGTTTCAGATCAAAGATGTAGATGATAAACCTCTGAGTGTTGTTTCAGATCAAAGATGTAGATGTTAACCCTCTGAGTGTTGTTTCAGATCAAAGATGTAGATGTTAACGCTTTGAGTGTTGTTTCAGATCAAAGATGTAGATGTTAACCCTCTGAGTGTTGTTTCAGATCAAAGATGTAGATGTTAAACCTCTGAGTGTTGTTTCAGATCAAAGATGTAGATGTTAACCCTCTGAGTGTTGTTTCAGATCAAAGATGTGGATGATAAACCTCTGAGTGTTGTTTCAGATCAATGATGTGGATGATAAACCTCTGAGTGTTGTTTCAGATCAAAGATGTAGATGTTAACCCTTTGAGTGTTGTTTCAGATCAAAGATGTGGATGTTAAACCCTTTGAGTGTTGTTTCAGATCAAAGATGTAGATGATAACCCTCTGAGTGTTGTTTCAGGTCAAAGATGTAGATGATAACCCTCTGAGTGTTGTTTCAGAT